TGTAAATATTTATAAAGTTATTTAAGAAAAAAAAAAAGCTTTACTGCAAAAATATATTGATTTGGCCTCCTGAGCCCTTTTCTCTCCCCTTCAACTGTCTGCTGGTTTCAACTAGTTAATTTGCGAGGTCTGAAAAGGTGAGGAGGTTATGAAAAGGTGCTCTCATGACTATCTTGGGGGAAACATTCAGTCCTCGTTTCTTACTAAGAATTGCATTAGATTTCCTTTTCTTCCCCCGGAGGTTCAACTGCTGGGTGGCATAACTTAGCACACTATTTAATATTATAATTATGTCTTATTTATTTGAGATAATTGTTGAATATTGTGCCCTCGATGGAGGGCTACTCCCAACCAAAGGTCTTTGAGGTTTCTATAGAAACTGATGATTGAAAGGATGTCCTTTATACTTTTCTCCCCGTATTTGGGTTATTTCTGTGTCAGTAAGTTCTGTGTTTATCATTCACTCCATGTCCTAAAACAGAAACAAAACCCTTCTGCACAGTTTATGAATTAGATTTTCTTTTCATTTACTGTACCACGTTTGAGAGTTTCTGCTTACTCTGCTTATTATTTAACTTAAAATGACCAATTCAGAGTATAACCAACAAACAATTGAAGTGTTTAACAATATGGAAGGGAAGTTGTGGGTTTACACTTCTGTAATATAAATAGCACACCAGAAGGTTCAATGATGGCACTGAAATTCTGTAATGTTCTTTCTACTTTTGTCTTTTCCTATACTCCTTTGGATGTACAGTACTGTATCATATGCTAGACTGCATAAATACCCTGTAAATTAAGTGCTTCACTTCTCAAAGCATATGTCTGTTGCACTGAGGGTGGAAATCCACCACCAATTTTCTTTTGGCTAATGCTAAACCACTAAACGTTCATTCTCCGAGCAAGGATTTAATATACAGGGGTTGCACTACTGTAAAGAATATCCTTGTAACATTTGGGACTCCTTCCTCTCTTTGTTCTGTTCACTGCAGTCGCAAATGGTTCCTCTAATAATGTTAAGTTCCAATATTTTTCTGACTCGATTGGAACGTGCTTCTCTATGAGGCTGTATATTTTTGTAATGAGTTTTGTACTTATTTTTAATGTTGTGGTCTCTGGTGGACTTTATTTTTCGTTGTTGTTTGATTGTTAATGTTTTTTCTATGACATTCTGTGTCGCTGTTCCAGCTGTCTTTTAGAATGGATGCTCTTGTTGTCTGGGTTATTGAATCACCTCTTAGATGTCTCTTTATGTCACGATAATAACAACTGCTGTCTTTGCAGCCTTATATTTGGGTGAAGCCTAGACAATCTGACTGGAAAAATAAACTTTCTTTATTCTAAGATAAAATATGAAGATTTTTCTTTCTTTCATCTTTATTCTAGGGAATCTAAATTTTCTACTTTTCTCTTTCTCTTTCTCTTACTTTTCTTGGTGCTGGGCTCTTCCTTCCTCAGCGATGATACCTCCTAATATCGCTGCATGTATGAGAAATGACAAGCTCGGGGAGTCTTGCTTCTACCTTATGGGCCATAATCAAACTACGGTTTGTAGCTAAAATCAATATTAGGTGTTTTTGTGCTGTGGCCTTAATTCCCTCACATTGCTTTCCGCTTCGCTATATTTTATATGTACAGCAATTCATTCCGAGCACCCTGCGTCCCCTGAATTCTTAAGTACACCACAGGACCCGATTAAACCTCACTTGTACCTTGTGCGATAGCCAGGTTGCCGCAAGCCACGTGCTTACAGCTATGGAAAAGCGGTGTGGTCCCCAGCTGCTGCCTGAAAAAGCTAATAAGCCAAAGTGCACACATGTGAGTCGCAACACGGGTTTCACAACACGGGATAAGTATCGTGGCCCATGCACACACCGACCCTCCCAAGCTAAGGACTGGAAATGCCATCAAATGGGAGACACTTCGCGTGATGGCAGGAGGAATGAGCGTGTAGAGTGTTTGGCTTGGGGGAGGGAAGACCAAAAGGAGAAAACCAGAAAAAAAAAAATCCATCCCCACAAGTGTTTGTGAGGGTTTCCAGTCGTTGCCATCGGGACAGTCCGCCTCGAGGTGGGGGTCTCGGTGCAAGCGGCAGGAAGCCTGCGGGAAGCGTAGCTAACGCCAGCCGAGCTGCCGGGCAGAAGTTACTTTCAAAATGAAAACAATAAGCAAGTAAAAGCAACGCTCACATTAAGTCAGCGCAGCTACTTTAATGTTTGCCATGTCTATAATGAATCATTCATAAACATCCCTTACAAATGACGCGAGTAATTGTAGCTTAGCTACAGCGCAGGGCTGGGGTTTAGTTTTGGGGTTGTTTTTTTCTTCTGCTTTGCAGTTTGTCTTGCAGAGGTAGCTCAGCTGTATTTTACTTGAAATACTACATTGAAAGTAATGAACTGGAGATCAGGTTTTAATCAAAGCCATTCTACATATTACAATATCTTTCCATTGCTTCGATATGAAAAAATCATAACTTCTGTCATCGTTGTTTGAATCATTGTGGCAAAACCAAAATCTACCCTAGGACTTTTCGTAACATGGTAGAACTAAGCGAGATTAATTACTGTCTTAAATGAAATGGAAATTGTATGATTACAGTCTAATTCTCACACCTTCAAAATGTTATTTTACAAGGTGAAAACTTAATAATCAATTCTATTTTCTGTACATTTTCTGCTATTTGAAACAAGGCCTCCCACACCTGGAAGGCAGTTCTTTCAAAAGACTTAAAAGAAAAAAAAATAGTTTCCTAAAGGCCCTCTTTATTGGAAACTGTCAAAAAAAAAAAAAAAAAACAGCCAACAACCTGACCTACAATTTTTTTTTTTTCCGCTGGAAAGAAAGTAGTGTATCCGAAATATTATGAATTGGGCTTGGGGAAAATGTAAAATGCCCCATGACCAGAAGAGCATAAAGATGATATCGGCTTGGACCAAAACACAGCTAACGAACAGAGCAGCACCAGTACTAACCTGTAACTCTCGTTGTTCGCAGTTAAATTAACAAAAGCTTCGGTTAGCCTTCACTGACTGCTTTAACAGTTGTTTGTTTTTGTCACTAATGAAGTCTGAAGAGTGATAAGTGGTGTCACAGCACCGCGGAAGGCATCGGTACCAAACGCTTTGCTGTTATTTTCTTTCAGACCCCAGCAGTGACAGGAACAGTCCCGCCACAGGTTCACAAAATGTATCGGAAATGAAACCCGTGCCATCCGACCGACGGCAGCACCCATCATCGGAGTCCAGTTATCCACCAGACCTTCACAAATCATCACAACATGGGGACAAGCGGACTTACGTTAGAGACCTAAAAGGCAGCAGAGAGTTTAGCAGACATCCCAATGAACACCACACTTGGAATGGGACTTCTAAAACCAACGACCACGTGCCAGGCAGGAGGACGGAGAGGTCGCCGGAGAGGCGGCACGAGAGGCAGCCGGAGAGGGCGGTGGTGAACGGGCAGAAAAGGAGGTCTCCCGAAAAGCGGAGGGAAGGGACAAGGAGCGCTGACAACACTTTGGAGAGGCGGGAGCGACACGAAAGGAGGAGAGAACTCTCCCCGGAGAGGCGCAGAGAGCGGTCTCCCAGCCGGCGCCGGCGGTCACTGGAGAGACTCACCGAGCCG